ATTTTGCTCTACCTCAACACTAGGGCCCGTTTAGATCTCCCTCGAAAAAAAAGTATAGATAAAACTATATCCCATGAAATACAATCTTGCTAAAAATTTCACGTGAAATGAGTTTTTGCTATTTGGAAATTATTTGGATGCACCCTAAAAGATAAATTTATATCATAGAAAGGGGTTAGAAGCAATTTAATATCTAATAAAGAAAACATGATAGAGAAAAAAATGGTTAGAGTAAGAAATGGTTAGAGCAAGATAAAAGTAGAAAATAATTTCACAATTAGGTAGAGAGAGAGAGAGAGGGACAGAGAATTGGGTTGGGGGAGTCATGTTAGCAACGAGAGAGAGATGGGAAAGTTTTTGGCTTGGGTTCCAATTGACTCTATGCTTGTTTTAATTTTCTTTTCTTTTTTGTTAGACTCAACAAAGAAATCTGACAAGGAAATTAATCTTTTAGTGTATAGGGAGCAAACAATTTCTCTGTTGGGCTCAGAATAGAGAAAATGATTTAAGGCAGAAAAAAAATTTCCAACCCAAATTTTATATCCAAACTACTAAATTAAGCAATCTCCCTAGAAAACCATCTCCCAGTAATATTTTTCCAAGGGTCCGAATGGCCCTAAGTTATTGTAGCCTGGTTGGATACGGAAGAAAATATCATGTAATCGGTGCATTTCGGGTGTTCCATGGTAGGTCACTAATACCTATGGCCATGCCAAGGCCAACCACACCCTTGCCATCGGTGCAAAAAGGTTGAACCAATAAGAGGATTGGTGGATGTGGTATGGTTTCGGGACAAATTTTCCAGCTCTCCAGCATCCTCATGCCTCTTTATACAAACCAAGTACCACCACAAAAAGTAAAGGGTGTGATTTGCATAAAGTTGAAACCTTAATAATTACAGTAAGGTGTACCTTCAAAGTTTGTCATGAGATATAAATTTGATTTTGAAAATATTTAGGATGGTATGAGAATCTATTTTTATTTCTATTTTAAAAATTTTAAACTCTAAAAATGGTTCGAATCAAGCAGATTTATATACATGAAAATCATAAAATGGATAGTCCAGATAATATGTTGCAAGATATACTATTTTTAGGACTTGAAATCTCTTTTTTTCTCCACATCTATACATCTCGATGTCGTGATGTTCAATTAGGTACTTTTCCAATATTAAAATAACCTCTTTTCCTAAGAATTTCAGAGGTGCACCGAATATTCTACATTGTAAGGTGTCAACTATACATAAACCTTTTTCGGTAAAGGGTCCATCTTGCAGCCTCTACAAGTGATTCCAAGCTAATGGTAACTCTGGTTACGGTAAACAAGAACATGTGATTATTGGAAGATACTACAAAACGCCTATAAGCGAAAATGAAAAGTGATTTCGCCTATCCTGATCACCGCCCAAATTTCATCGCACGGTCACGATTGTCCAGTAATGTTTTATTTTTCATTTATTTCTACAAATCAAAATGACTTAAAATTTGAAGAGTGTGTTCATAAAAAATAGGAGAATATTGTTCATAAAAAATAAGAGAATATACGAAAAATATCAAAAAGTTTTACATGAAAAAAATTAACCAAAATACCCCTGAAATGTTTTGGAGGTATTTTGGTCCATTTTTTTACAAATTATTTTTTTTATATTTTTATTAGGTTCGCCTCACTAAGATGTACGCACGCTCCAAATTTCATATCATTCCGATTTGTAAAAAAAAATGAAAAATGAAATACTACTGGACAATCGTGACCGTGCGATGAACTTTGGATGGTGATGAAGGTAGGTGAAAATATTGTTCATTTTCACCTATAGGCATTGGGACGACTTTTTCGTGATTATTAGTAGCAATTGCACTTTTGTATAACAACTAGTTAATTACTTTTGTGGGTTTCAAACCTACTAGTAAGTTCCAAATTAAATGCTCTCCTTGGAGGACCTGCCACAATTTTATAACTCTAGTATGGCACAAGGTTCTGCTAGGGTTTTAGGCCTTCACTGCTTGCAAACCCTTGCCGCTAGCCACTATCCAACCACCGCCTGCAAGCCCTTGCTGCCAGGCACAGTCTTACTATAGCAACTGGCGTCCCTTGCAGCCACCTTCAAGCCACCGCTCCAGTTTATGCCCTTAACCCTCGAGAAGAGAGACTTTCAGCTTCCTACATCAACTTTCTGGTGACCCGTAGCAGCCTTCAGCGACTTGCAACAACCTTCTGGCGACTAGCAACTACCTTCGGAAACCAACAACAACAACCTCTAGCGACCAACATCGTTTTTTTCTCATAACCCTTTTTTCCCAATAGCTTCTTTCTTTCCTGACATCTTTTTCTTGGTTCTCTGTTACTGGGCTCAGTTCTCAGCTTTTGCCATCAGATCACAATTTTTTTCCTGCGTCTTGCCTACTTTTTATTTTTTGCTGCTCTCTCCTTTTCTTTCTTAAGCTCTTTGTTTTCTTGACCCCTTTCTTTGCATCTCTTTTAGGAGTTTCCTTCATTTCAATTTTCAGGGAGGGAGAGAGAGAGAGAGAGAGAAAGAGTTTTGTGGCATTGGGCTAGGGGTAGGGGTAGGGGTGGGGGTGGGGGTGGGGGACTCCCCCACCCCTGCCCCTCTCATCCTCCTTTCCTCCTTTTGTCTTTTCTCCACCCTTTCAATCTCCATCTCTCATGTTGCTATCATTTCCATTCGTCGTCTTCATCCTGCTCTTCTTTCTTCTTACCTCTCTCTCTTTTCCTCATCTCATCTACCCCAATAAGGCTAACCCCTAAGAAGGGGTGACCCCTTTGGGTTAGGCACCCCGTCATTATTTTTCTAGATCATTTGGTCATGAATATATTTGCATGAGGTCACTTAATGCTAACGCCTAAGATGACGCTTGTTCATAGGGAGCCATGTCGTGGAGGATTGGTCCATATGGTTCCTTCTTCATTAGGAGCCATGTTGCAAAGGATTGGTCATCAAGGTTTCTTTTGAGGACTGAAAGATCCATGTATGAGGCTACAATAGGCTAAAGCTTAATATGGAGCTTTTCACTGGGATCCCTGCCACAGAGGTTGGAGTTCCTTTGTGGATCTAATTTTCTTGTTTTGTTGCCAAGTACAATTTTTGGGGAGATAGCTTTGATTTTCTCACATCTACTTTGTTGGAGATAGCTTTGATTTTCTCACATCTACTTTGTTCCTCTTGGTCTTGGTCCTCTCATGTCCTTACTCTTGCCTGTTTCTTTTTTTACCTCTTTTCTTGTTCTTTTCCCTCTTAGCCTTTTTTGTTATTTTGTTGGGTGGTGGTTGTAGCATCGGCACTCCAGCTACGGACTAGTGTAGGTTGTTGGTTGCCCCAACCCTTACTATGCAAGGATCTTTGATAAGGAACCTGAGGCTACTTGTTGGATGTTGGAGCTCGAAAGTGTTGTTTTAAGAAGATGAGACTCTTGTGAATTTTTTGTATGGATTGATTGGTGCTTAGGTAGTTTTGGTGTAGGATTGATGTGGTTTTTGGGATTGTTGTGTTCCATGAATTCGGTTTGGTCAATCTTGGATTTAGGGAGTGCTCCTCCCTATTTTTTCAGCTTGTACTTTTGTATTTAAGAGCTTTACTCCACTATCTAATGAATATTACTTGTAACGTTTCAAAAAATAAAACAAAACAAAGACCTACTAGTAAGAAAAGAAAAAAAGAACAAAGTCCTATTGTGGGTAGGGTGTGGGTAAAGATAAGCTAATATAGATGTCCAACAAATATTTACATGAAAATTTTTTAATGCACTTCTTAGAGAGCACGGAGCCAAAAATAATACACTCGAGGCATGGAAAGATAACAATAACATCCCATAAACAAAGATAATTCCCCTAAGGAATGAAATCGAAGTCATATACGAAAGGGAATGCAAATTTCTGACTCAATTGAACTTGGGTGAGACAAAGCAAATGCAGTGAGATAACCATGCACAAAGGAGGACTACGAGAGAATTGTTATGAGACAATTGTAAATATTAATCACATAAAGACTACCCTCAAACGTATTATGAATATTCATAAAGATCAATACAGTTGATTAGATTCATAGTTTGGTGGAAACAACAAAAACAAGTTTATTATTTTCAAAAATTTGTGTCGGCCACAAACTCGAGGAGTGGAAATACCAAAGACCATGAGAGTGAAATTAACATTCCATTACTAATGGTACTACTAATACGAACAATAATATCAAAAACAACAACAATAATGATAGAAGGTTGTTGTTGTGGTTGTTGTCGTCATTGTTGTTATGGTGCATTGCTTATAAAGTATTGTTATCGTGTCATGATACATTGCTTTTCTTCTTGAAATCTATGAACAATTTAATCATATCAGTAAAATATGAGAAGCAAAGAATAGTGCGCACCCTTTCTAAACGTTGAAGCAATGAAGTCTTGAACTGACGAACGCCTCGTCCGGTTGAGCTCATATCCAACCTATGTGCTTTCTCGAAAGCATAAAATCGGCCTGCACACGGCACCAAATTTAATTTTGCCCCCTTTTATTTGTTACATAAGAAGCTAAATAGTCAAAGGCATGCATGTGCTCTGCTATAGTTTTGGAAATTTATCAAAATACACTTATATTTTTCAATAGTTAAAGGAATGCCGTAATAGTTTTAGATAGGGAAAAAAATTACCAAATACATTTGACTTTTCAATGATTTAACAATTTTTCCCTTTTCAATTATACGGACTCATGTTTTTCAACTATGTGTATTTTGATGGGTATTTTTAAATTAAAATAAAAGATATGGGTGAAATACTTGACATCTCATGAGTATTTCAATAAATTTCCCTTTTAAATATACCAAATGAAAGTGTCACATCATCAAGTGCCAAATTCTCAAGAAAATGTATTAAAACACATACAAAACTACCCACATTTTGGCCTTAGGGCACAACAGTTACATTCAAATATGGAAGGGCGTTTTCATTCATTTTCTTAGGCTCGGGGCTGTCTACCTACTCATAAGAGACATGCGGTTGGCGGTAGAACAAAAGAACAGAGACACAAAGATTTGATTAAAACCAAAAAGATTTTATGTAAGAGGATTGATTGCATGGTACCATCCCGTCGCATTATAATTAACTGAAACTGTCCTTGTTAGAAATGATAATTGTGGCAATTGTATAATTCTAAATTTTGTATTTACATTCTCCTAATTCCAACAATCAATGCCAAAAAGGAAAAGGAAAAAAAAATAAAAAAAAATGTCAAAATGAGTTATTCTCTAACAATGAGTTCAAACTATCCATTTGGTGGACATTGAGATCTAAGCCTTTAAAAACTCAATTAATATTTTACTTCATATGATTGTTCATCTAATATCTATTAGGCCATCTGAAAAATTTTGATAAAAAATATATATCATTTAAAGTCTAGATATAAACATCCCATAAAATGGACGGTCAATGTTCATTGGTTTAAAAAAAGTAAATTTTTATGGTGCGTTTTCAAATTTTTTTTTTTTTCAGATCACATGGTGAATTCAATATAAAATAAACAATTAGGGTCAAACAAGTAGTCTTTCTAATATGGTTTTTGGATGTATGTCTCGTTATGTTACTATAACACAATTACACGAAATCACTACTCGTATGTGTGTGGAAAGATGGGCTATGCCAAGTCACATACCTCGTCTATGCCCATGGTCATTGATTGAATCGAGTCTGTTGGGTGGCCATTACTAAATTTTCTTTTTATTTTTAAGTTTTTCTATAAATCTTCTTTATAATACCTTCGAGGCATTAATGTATCAAGCAAGAGGGGCACTTAATAAAACTTAAGAAAAGTAATTCAAATAAAAATTACCAAAATAGCCCTTATATTTGAGGGGTATTTTAACTTAAATCATTTTATCATTTTTATTATTCATGGATTTCAGAGTAATGATCTTATGAAACCCTCCTATATCTATGTGTGTAGGACCCCAAAGGATCACCATTAAATATAGTATAGATCTTTAGAAAAATCAAATCCCATATCCATGTGATAACTTTTCTAGATATCTGTATCATATTTAATGGTGATCTTTTGGGATCCTACACACATGGGTGTGGGAGGGTCTCATAAGATTATTACTCTAAATTTCATGTCCATAGAATTACTTAAAAATTATTTTAAAAAAATAAAAAACTTGTTTGTTTGGCCAAGATTAAATCAAAATAATAACGCCCTAAGATCGAGCATGGAACATCAATTTTGAATAGTGAGATCCAAGAGTTGAAAAACTCAAAATCTAAATTTAATTTTTCAAAATTGTGATCTAGTGATTCGTAACTGAATTCCAAGTAGTTGCCAAATGCCTTCCCCAAAGTAACTTAGAACATAGGTTTGTGGACTAAACATGCATTCGGATTTCAAACATTTTGCTAGCACTTATATTGGTAGGAACGACAAACCCCAACCCTTTCTTTCTAGTTGTTTTTTTAAAAAAAAAAAAATTGTAGGCAGTTGTTCAATAGACTGTTTAACATCCAATCCTATCATGGTTGGGAGTTTTGCTTTCAACATTTCCATATGAAAATAGCTATCTTTCAAGTGACACAAAAAATAAATGATTTCCAATGGGATTTTCCATATGAAAATAGTTATCTTTCAAGTGACACGAAAAATAAATGATTTCCAATGGGATCAAGTAGTCCCAGGTTTGCCATGTAAATGGGGGCGCATTTGAAGTGGGACCCGGATTCTACGTGTGCGTTTCAGACAAGAAAAATATTTTATCTGCATCTTAGCCGTAGACTTCAGTTAATCTTACCTGAAACTTGACTGAGGCTCAAAATTCATCCTACGATAGCCCACACACAGGTGCTTTCTGCCGTATGTATACCATACACGAGACGTGCATTGTATACCATGCAGTGGGTACTGCTTCCACATCTTGTGCATCGTCCCGTCTTTTAAGTTTTAGCTTCCGATGGGATATCATACGCATACACCGCCTGTGTATGATGCTTAGATTCACGAGATATGTGCAGTACACTACCCCGTAGAGATGTTTTTTAAGACCCAGTTTCTATGCTGCCAAGCCCACATATGTAGAAGTACGAGCTTTTAAATAAATCTATTTTTTAGATAGATTTGAAGACTTAATTTTTAATCTTTAACATGAAGATCATGAATATAAAAAAATAAATAAATTTTAAAAACTAAAAATAATAATTCTAATAAAAAAACATTTAGACAGTTAGTTTACATTGGTTTTAGATAAAACACCTACTTGTATCCAATGGATACGTTATACAGTTCGGACCACATATATAAAAACGCTGTCAACCCGTATGAAACCATTTTTTTTTCTTTTTTCTTTTTTATTTTATATATATATATATATATATATATTAACAAGGACAAAGGAGAGCAGGACGACCGGAGAGAAATGTATGTAGGGGCCAAGTTTTTAGTGTACTCACATAGATAACCGACACGTGGGCGTTCAGCTTCGATCTCAGTGGCGACACGGAGGATGGGCGCGATGCTGCCGAGGGACGAAGGCACCACCTCGTTGTCGAACACCTCCTGACTGAATGTGGTCATGGCCGCACTCCTCGTCGAGGGCCGCCTCATCAGAGTCTGCGGCCCCGCCGAGCTCGATTCCTGGCTCCACATCTGCTCATTCAACGGCCAACGTTTGTCACTCATTTCGCTGCTTGTTCGAAGAAGAATAAATTCTCCTTGTTTCTATTAACGGGGGATTTTAAATGCTCATACTATCAAGGCCGGGGAGCACAGGTGAAAATATTTTGTTTTATTATTGCGAAGGGGTGAAAAGGTTGGCGAAAGAGTTTATTTAGACATGGAACATTACAGTTTTAAGACGTGTAGAGTGAGATATTACAAAATTAGGGGGTTTCCCATTTAAGGGCAACCAGAAAAACAGTGAAATTACTAATCAGGCAAAAGGCGGCAAAATAAGAAACAAAAATTAGCTTAAACAAAAATTAAAAAGCTTGAATCGTTGTTATAAGGACCTTAAAAAAAGCATAATAAAACTCCAACATTTTAAGGTCGTTTTGAAGGCGGCAGGAGAGAAAAATGTTGCAAAGAAAGAAACAAATTATAACGGAATGGTAAAACCGTGTACACTAAATAATAAAAGATTATTAGGCGTGATTTCATCAAATGCCAGACAAATCTCGAATGGACAACATGAGCGAGACAGAGTCCAATTAACTATGAACGAAAAGGAAATGACCAAAATTTGGTTGGAGAGAGAGAGTCAGTCCGTTATTTCGTTGACCATAACTAAATCGGAAACGCGGAAAATAAGAAGGCACTTCTGAAATTTTAGAGAGAGAGAGGGGGGGAAAGAGTGTGTGTGCATTTCACCATGACCAATAAGGGATAAAACTTTCGCTGAAAGAGAGAGAGAGAGCCCCTTTAACCATGACAAAATAGGGAATGCTAAATTTATGGGAGAGAGAGGGGGAGTCCAACCCCGACGAAAACCAAAATGTCCAAAACTTAAAATTTTAGCCGAGAGAGAGAGAGAGACCGTTACGAAACAAATGATGAACTTTAGCTGGAAGAGAGAGAGAAAGAGAAAGAGAGAGAAGAGTCCGCTAAACCTGAAAAAATAAAATAAATGCTGAAACTTTAGCGGGAAGGAAGAGAGAGAAAAAAATGCCGAAATTTTAGTAGAGGCGCACAATCTCCTAAAACATTGCTCCATTGTCATAAAATTTACTAAAATGAAACCAAAACAACTTCACAAATATGGACCACGAATACTCCCTATATTCTGTTGCAAAATAACGAAAATAAAAAACAAAACCGAATAATCAGTCTTTTTTCCATGTAATAAAACCAGGCACACGCAAATGGATTCTGACAATAAATGTGTATTATACTATCGTTAGAAGCAGAGATATAATGGAGAATCTCGCTAAAAAAAGCGAGGAAAATACATGCATGAATACAAACTACTATGGATTCATTACAAAATTAGACAGTATCCAAGAATTCATATCTTCAAATTTCTTCCTAATAGCGAAAAATAAAATCTAAAAGCCATAAATTTGAAATCGATTGATGCGGATTCTGAAAAGCCAGCCTGAATACATGATTACCAGCTTTAAGACCGTCATTTGACCTAAAAATCCCATGGAAATCGCCCAAAAACCTGCTTTACTATCTTAAAATCTTGCTGCATTTTGATCAAGAAAGAAGGACTAACTTTTAGGGTCGGTTCTCCTCTCTGTCTCTGTAAAAAAACCTTAAAAGGAAGCAGCCTCTGAAACAAGAGAAAGAAATACCTCGCCTTCGCAAATGGATAATGACAATAATAAATGCATACTATAATCTCGTCAAACGTAGAGAAATAATGGAGAACCTAGCTGAAAACTAGGAAAGTGCATGCATGAAGATGAACTACAATGGATTCGAGACAAGTTTTAGAAAACATCCAATAATTCAATGAATATCACAAATTGCTTCCCAATAGTTTGAAATCCATTGATGATTACCAGTTTTAAGACTGTAATTTGACCTCAAATCACAGGAAAAACTGGTCTACTACCTTAAAATCTTCCTGCATTTTGATCAAGAAAGAAGGACTCACTGTTAAGATCGGTTCTCCACGTTCTGTCTCTCTGAAAAACCTTAAAAGGAAACAGCCTCTGAATCAAGAGAAAGGAATGCCTCAAATTTTTGGAATGCCTCGCCTTCTTGATTCAGAGGAAGAAGCCTCTGAATCAAAAAAGGAATGCCTCACCTTTTAAGATCGTCTCTCTCCCTCTATCACTCTGAGGAAGCCTTAAAATCGAGTTGGCTTTGAATTAAGAGAGAAGATGGCCTGATCTTTACGGGTCGGTTCCCTCTCTCGTCTGTCCAATGGAAAACACCTTAAAATGACGAGACAAAATCAAGAGAGGGAGAGAGGAATCACTCACCTTAAACGCGCGATGGACCTCCGCTTCCTTTTCAAATGTTGGCACGTGTGTGGCCCAGGGCTTCTGTGCCATCGATACTTTTGCTTGCCTAAATTAACATTTCTCTGAAGGTGAGGCTTGTAAAGAGCGGAGGCTCTAAACAATCAAAGTAAAGTGCACAACGTGGTTTCAGCCTTAAAATATATTTTTATTTTTAATCATAAAATTTGAGATAAAATGTATAATAAGACCATTTATCTTTGTTACAAGGTAGTTACCATTGATCTTTGATCATTGGATGTAAAATTAGGTGGCTGCATTTATTTCATTGATTAAGCTCAAAGTTTAAAAAAAAAAATTTCGAACTTTATGACACATCCAAGCTATCAAATTTCACATCAGATGGTTATAACTAATTGTGACATTTTTATACAAAAGGTAAATGATCTCATTGTATACAATCCAAAAATTTAAAGCTTCAAAATAGTGTAGATCGAGCAGATCTATAAAAATTTGAAATTCTTGAAAATCGATGGTCTAGAAATGCATTACAAGATGGACTATTTTCAAAACTTGTAATATATTTTTTTCTCATGTCCACGCATCTTGATGTCGAGATGATCAATTTAAAGATATTTGGGCATCAAAACAACTTCTTCTAATGAAAGGTTTGAGGTGCACTGTAATTTGATTGTTTAGCCTCTGCTCTATATGAACTTTTCCTATATGTATTTAGTTGCCTAAATGGACATTTTTTCTATTAAGGTTTTAACAAAGTGTTTTGTGAGTATGCACGTCCATCAAACGCTCATTTTTAAGATGGGCGGCGGCAGGGATCCAACCAAAACTAAAAATAAAGGGTGTAAAAAAATTTCAAAAAAATATTTTTTTAAAATATTAAAATTATTTGTTTATTCGCATACACGACGATCATGGTCTAGATTATCAAACTCTAAAAACTTGTATCCAAAATCTTCTTTAAGATAAATTTTAGAGGGGGATGCATTCGGCTGACTCACGAAAATCAGATCTAAAGGTTTTTTTAGAAAGAGAAAATAAGTATTCCAAATAGTGGGTTCATGCTCTCAGATTTTGATGGCCACTTTCTCAGAGAAACTAAGGACATTCAAAAGTTTAATTAAATTGTGCCATAAATGACCATCATAAAAGCTTCCTTGAGAGTTCTGGCGAATATTTATCTTCTACCTCCTTTTTACCTTCACTGGTGTCGGGTGCCTAGTATCTTATTTTTCTTGTGATCTTGGTACACTGTACTACCTTAAAATCCACGATCATAAGCTTGTGAATATTTGTGCGTTATCGTCTTGGGGAAAATACAATGTCTTTTATAAACTTCTCAACTTCTCGTTTTATTAAGTATATCTTTCTTCCTTTATCTTGAGTTTCATGCTCTATAGAGATTAGAAATCTGAAACCCAAAAGATGAAATCCTAACCTATAAGCTACTGATCATGTGTATTATAAATACAAAGTGTTGGAGTAATTTTATATCACAACAATTAAATTTAAACAAATGTTTTATGCATGTTTTTAAAGAAATTAATGAAGAGGCTCATAAACTTTCTAAGGAGGGTTACTCCTTTGATGTTTTATAGATTAATTAGGGTTGGCAAAGGGCCAGGCCTGGGCCTAGTCTCCAAACGGCCAACCCAGCCTCGGCCTGGCCCTAATCGGGGCTAGGCCAAATGAAATAAACCAAAAATAAAAGAAAAGGAAAAAAGAAAAAGAGGGGAGGATCGGGCCGAACCAGGCTATCCCTGGCCGAAGTTCAAATTGGAATTACCCTCTGGCCATGATTGCTAGGCCCTAGCCCAGTCCTCATACCCTATTTTGTGCCCCAAGCCCTAGTTTGTTAGGGCCGAGCCACCAGGCCCTTACCACCCCTAAGATTTATAGGTTTCATAGCTTCACATGAGTTTCATGTCTTTCTTGTATTGATTGTAAATAAAGTGATTAGCAACATTCATCAAAAAAAAAAAAAAAAATTGCATTTTAACGCTTATAATTTTACCCCGTCTCTTTCCCTCAATTATAAGACTGTTGAAAAATGCCTCCGAGCCCATTCGATCATACCCTTACCATTTTTTCACTTTGATTCCAAAACCAACATTTCCCTTTCTCATCCCAAAGTCATTAGACTCTCTTCCTTGTATGGTTCAATGCGATAGCTACCTTGTTAAGCTGTATGAGGGTTGCGATTATCAAATGAAGGGAAAGAAGAGTGATTGGAAAAAAAATCATTGTAGTTCAAGAGCACCTAATTTCTCCATTTTTAGGTAAATTCAATAAGAGAGTCAGAGTGGGGTTTTATGAGATCAATTTATTCTTACTTAAGTTTGTTTTTGGTGTTTTGGGTTTCTTTATTATTAGAAGGTGGGTTTTATGAGACCTATTTCTTGTTACTTAATTTTGGTTTTGGTGTTTTGGGTTTCTTTATCATGAGAAATTTGCATTTTGTTTTGTACATTAGCTTATTTGAGGTCTTAATCCATTCTCTCTTTCTCTCACTCTCATTGTTAATAATACCATCTTTGACTTGGAATTTTTGTTGAAGTTTTAGAATTTTGGTTTGGGGAAAATTTATATTATTGGAGTTTCCAATTTTGCAAAAGATTTCTCACTTACCCTGGTTGGTTGTAACTACCAATTCCCATTTTTTCATATTCTAGATTTACGGCACCTTTATAACCAGTTCCGAAATTTTAGTTTTAAATAAACCATGAATAGTGATGGATTATGAGAGAAATTTAAGTTATTTTTCGTTATTTTCTAGTTATTTTTATGCATTTGGAGTAGATATTCGTGTAAGAGTACTTCTTGGGTTGAATTGTATCGTTTTTATGCTATCAAGTAGAGAGTGATCCGTGAGCTATGTCCTTACTTCAATTACATAGTAACTCTGGTTTATGAATTCCATTACTGTATTGTCAAATTGTATGTTATAAGAAGTACAACATATTCATATGGATGGCTAACGTGTTAAATGATTTAGATGATTAATTAACACCAAAGTATGTAGCACGTTTAACGTGTGTGCTTTTTATAAATACTCTAAACGATCAAATTCGAGCCTACTACAAAAAGTTTATTAGTAGAGGTTGTTTTGATGCCCAAATATCATCGAATTGATCATCTCGACATCAAGATGCATAGACATGAGAAAAAAATGGATTTTAAATTTTGGAAATGGTGCATTTTGTAATGCACTTTTGGATCGTCAATTTTCAAGATTTTCAAGTTTTCATAGATTTGCCGATCTACACTATTTTTTAAGCTTTAAATATTATAAACAAAGATGAAAATATATTTTAAGGCTATCACAAAGAATTCCAGTATTGAAACCACATTTCACGATACTATTTGAAGGTAGGCTCTAATTTGATTGTTTAGGCTCTATGCAAACCGCATGTGTATATATATATATATATATGTGTGAAAAAAGTTGGGGTTAGCCCACTAGCTCATTTGAACATATGAGCCCAACAGCCCAAATTGAATATGGGCCGATCTGACGATTACGGATATCCAGTAGTGCTTGAATTTTTTTTAAAAAAAAAAATTTCAAATCACTTGAAATTTTAGGTGTGTGTTCTTCTCATCAAGGCGCACCTAATAAAAATATAAAAAAATTTATTCGTGAAAAATAAATGACCAAACTACACCCCAAAACTTT